CCCCAAAACCCCAAAACCCCAAAACCCCAAAACCCCGTTTTGTTAAAAATATGATGAAAAATTAAATCACAAATAAATAATAAACTATATTTATCTGCAATGGGAGCCCAGCAAACTACTGGAAAAGTAAGCATTGAGACGTATAGCATCTGGATAGTGGGCTAGGAGTGTCAACACGGGGCTTAGAGGGGAGAACAATTGGGTTTGAGTAGGAAATCAGGGATATTAGAATAAAATTTGGCATAGATTTAGATCTGCACGCTCAAGTACATTAGCCGAGAATACTAATCCGTCACTTCTCAATTTTAGCTTAAAATCATATTTAAACTTAGGAGATTACCGCTTATTTTAGCTAACAGAAGAAGTTTTACTTTTAAATAGAGATAATTGGCTCTTCTGATTATTGAGACCTCCCTTTGTTCAAATGTACTCTCCTTCATTTTTTAACGTATTTTTTAGCCAAAACTAGCCATTTTGTCTTATTTTATCTAATAAATATATTATGCTCTGGTACTTACAAAGTCAGCTCTATATTTTCCAATACTCAGAGAGTAGCTATGCCTGTTTATAGATATTAAGAACTTTTAGACCCTCTGGTTCTATTGTTGTTTCATCTGAACCTGCTGTTTTCATCCTTAATGCCTGTGGGTGTAATTTTCAATATTTCTTAGTGTCAGTTTAATGATTAATTAGTACAGTTTTTTTTCAGACAGCTCATATTAAATAAAGTTTATTAAAAAAAATCAAGATATCTGGTTAGGAAAGCCTGAAACAGTTTGTCTAATCCTCCCTATATTGATCATCTGATGTAGATCTCTTACTGGAGTGCCTTCCTTTAGTCTTTATTTACCTTTGGCTTCTTCCAATAAAGAAGTTATGGAATAGCCTTATTTTAGAATCTGAACGTTCTGATTAGCAACAGATGTATTTAATAAAATACAATCTTTCACAAAATTTATAGCTAGATCTGTCTTATTCAAATGACGTAAATAACGTTGAAGGTTCTACACCTACATGCTAACTGTTTTCTGATATACTTCAAGATTTTTAATAACCTAACACTTTTCACAGCAGAAATCTGGTAGAATTGTTATGCTTAACAGTTCAGAATTGTGCTAAAAAATACTTTTGCCAAAAATTATTCTAAATGTTTGCAATAATTTTTAAAACTACCAAATAAGACTTTAAACTCTCTTTCAGATATTAAAACTGTTTTGAGCAATAACTTAATGATTTTGTAGGTCAGAAGAGCTCGGAGAATGAGCATGGAGGAGTTAATTACAAATAAAAACAGCGTTACCACAGCTTCTACTCTAAGCAGTAGGACACCTATCACTCATAAAGGACTTCATAAGAGAACCAAGAGTCAAGACCCTTTCAGGTCTACTTTTACCTTTGGTAATAACCATGGTTTCTGAAATAAAGGGAGGAATTCTGATCCTGGTAAGTAATTTTTGAACTGAAAATCCTTCCTTTGTTCAAAATTCCCGATGATTTAAAGCCAATCTCTAACTGGTTTCATACAGGACCCGATAAGCCCAAACTAGAGCTGCCAAAAATAAGTACCTGAATTGTTATGATCCCTAAGACTACAAAGAATGTCATCGCAGAAGATTTGGCTGAGTATGATCAGGAAGATGAGGAAGTTTTTCAAGAACTTATGAATACTAATAACTAATTATGCCTAATTTTTCAATCATATTAAAATAACTGGGGTTTTGGGGTTTTGGGGTTTTGGGGTTTTGGGGTTTTGGGG